ACTGGAAACGGGGCCCAGCGTCCCCTACATCGATTTCCTCCACTCAACGCTCCTCCCCGTTATGGCCGGGAGGTCCTGATACGACTGCACAGATTACTTCCGTTTGGAATGGTATACCCCTGCTCCGAGTCTCCGACCCTTCTGTTTTCTACTACCTGCTATCTTTCTGAATCTAACGATTCTAACCTGCTCCCGACAGCATTGATTGCTTGCTTTAGGAATGATTAATTGCCTGATCATTGGTGCTAGCTATGTTGCCTACTCCTTTTTCTTTTTTCTTTTTTTGTTTTCTTTTTCTTTTTTCTTTTTTTGTTTTCCAACAAAGCAGGCCCTAATGGTCCTGGCTGCTTATCCATTCTGGGGAGTGTCAGTCCGGTTCATTTTCCCTCGGCGATTCAGATATTACAACATCAACACCCTCACGCTTCCTTCGGTTTGGCGGAAGGAACCCTGATCAACATTGACTGCTCCTTTACACCGGGAGGATTGGCTGCCAGCCTGCCTTGTCAGGACTCCCTCTCCAAAAAAATACAGCTGTCTTCTCCTCATATGGGGGCCAGTGTTTTTTTTTCTCCCTACCCTATTTTCTTCCATCTTCTTACCTCGCACTAGCTACCCATAACCCACAAGCCCTACAAGGCAGATAATGGATCACCTCTATTCAGGATTGACGAGTGTAGACTTTCAGGGTCGCTTCTTCCTGGTCTTTATTGAGGATTGATACAGCATTGGGGTCGGAGTAGCAGACAGATAGGGAAGGCTATGAATGCTGCCGCAAACTTGCTTGCCTGTTTTCTATAAGAGAACTGGTATGCTCGCTTTGGGGACGGTTTCTTTGATTTCCACCCCCCAGTCTCCCGGCTTCCACGAAAACTTCTTTCCAAATTCCCGCAATGCTTCTGATGATCTCTTCTAAATTCTCTTTCCGGTGGTGACAGCCTTTCGGGATTGTGCTGAGATCATTCTCTTCAAGCCAGTCTCTTTTCTCCTCGTTCCAGATATTTGATTTCCAATTTTCCACCCCCCAGTCTCCTGGCTTCCACGAAAACTCTTCTTTCAAAAGTTCTTGCCAATTTTTGGGGATGCTTCAGATCATCTCGTCTAAATTCTCTTTGCGGTGGTGACACCCTTTGGGGACTGTTATGAGATCGGTCCCGTCAAGCCAGTCTCTTTCCTCCCCGTCCCAGGTACGGGTTATCTTCCATATCCCATGATTCACCCATGACAGCGAACGGTTGTCCTTTGAGGTCAGGAACCATGGATGCTCTCTGTCATCACAAATCCCTGCGTTCCCAAAGAAGGGCTGTCTTGGCACCATCCTTGGATCTGGGCTTGCATACCTTGTCAAGCGTAATCTCTCTTCAAAGTCTGAGTAGAGCAGTCCAATAAGATAAAGGGGGTGTGCTGTCTCCAGCTGGAGATCCTCCTCTTCTTCGTCTACGGCCTGTCTTTGGGCTCCGGGCTTTGTTCATGACCCAAAAGAGCCCAGACATGTTCGTCAGGTTCTCAACCGGAGTTAACGATTGTATGTTGTCCAGGGCTAGAACTTGTTCCAGGCTAACGATTGCTCTGTTAGGATCTTCACTATTCGCTTTGCTTGTAGTGCCTTGGTTTCTTGTCTCGGGTCCAAAATTCCTTAAAAACAAAATCCTAAAAACAAAACAGCGCGCAGCCTCCTCGTAACATAGTGGTATGCAATTTTTAGTATATACTTCTGTTTGTTTGGGTAACCTGTCCATAAATATGCCCTAGCCTTCTTGTTGAGTTTGCCAATGGTATCATCAGGTCGTGTCCATATGGAGGCTATGTACCACATCATAGAGAAAATCAATGTATTGGTGATTAGGGATCTACACAGTAGAAGATTTTGGACGATTTCTCGATTTATGCGTGTCATCCTTGCACAGGGGCCATACTAAATGTTCTCTGTATCCTTCCAATTTTTCATGGATGTCCCCAAGGACTATTTTGCCTACTCCTAAAGTAGCCTGTCGCTTAATTTCGAACTGTGAATATTACATACTGGCCCTCGTCTCTCTCCCATAGCTGATCCTGATTCTCCCTTACTTTCCTTGGTATCTCCCAGCGTGTACCTCTTCCATCTCCGACTTTCTCTAGCTTCCTGTCACTCAAGGGCTTTCCGCCCTTCGGCTTGGATGTTCTGCTCTGCCATTCTCTGCTGACGCTGCCGGAGTTCCCCGCTGTGCTCGTCTTGGCCACCATCTAGAGTTGATTCTATTCTACATTCTTCCTATCTATGCTTCTCCCAGAACCCCGCAGACGAAGTCCTCCTGTGTCTCCCTTGCCTTCTCTGGGTTTTGTTCCATCTTCCATCTAGACTGGTACAGAAATGCAAAAAATTTAGAAAAACTGGCAGTCACTGTCACCAGCAGTGCAGGCAGCCTGAACACAGCCGAAGATACCAAGACCGTCTGAAAGTAGCCAAAGTACTAACTGCACAAACCTGCAGTCTTGTCTGACAGAGAATCTGACCTGTGCTCCTCACCCGAATAGAACACCCGGTCATCATCAGATTCATCACCGTATCTCGACCGAAAACTGCACCAAACACAGCTATTGAAACGGTTTTCACCTTTCCAGTAGCAGATGCAGATCCCAGGGCTCGATCCCTAGACCTGCCCTGAACTCGTGTACACCACACTTTTCCCCATCAATGTTTGAACCCGTGACCTGCCCTAAAGTTGTCTGTCTAAGGCCGTTGTCCATACAAGGGCCGAGTAGGTTCGAGCTGCTTACCTGTAGGGTAGGAGTCGTAGCTTATGTCTGGTCGTAGCTGCTGTAGGTCTGAAGGGTCAACCTTACTCGTAGCTGCTACAGTACTGAAAGGGCAAGTAGGAAGGTCTAGAGTCTTCCAGGACCGCCCCTTCGAGAGTCTCAGAAGCAGTCAGTAGGCAAGTGGGCAAGTGAGCAAGCGGGTAGACTTACCAGGTCCAGTCAGCGGTACCCAGTCCCAGTCCCACCTTGTCAAGTCAGCAAGTACCATGTGGGACTGTGTGCACCCAAGGCCCGGTGGAAAGGAGCAGACCAGCGACCAAAGTATAAATCAAGAGGCAGCGTCCAGTTGTGGATTCATTCAGACTGTGAGCCGTGCGGAAGTGCTGCCTGAGCGGCTTGTGCAAGGAGGTCTGCGAGCGCCAGAGGAAGAAGTGGGCTGTAAGGGAGACGAAGCGGCCATAGCCGCTAGTTAGTGGTAGAAGTAGACAGCAGCCATAGCTGCTCTAGGTTAGAGATAGACTACAGTGTGTATGTGTATGAGTGTGTAGTGAGTTGTGTCCGTGTGTGGGACATCCAGGGAGATCCCGAGTAGCGTGCGCGCGAACAGTTGCCGAGGATACAGCAGGGAAGGCTGTTGTGAGGGCTCTTAGGCGCCATAGCCGTTGGAAGCAAGCTGAATCTGAACTGTGTTCTTGGCCACGATATCTCTGAGTTTGTGTGGGTGCCTAGCGCCAGTGCGATTGCCCTCTGTTTTCATGCATGCTGAGTGAAGAAGAAATCGAGTCTGATTGCAGCTATAATGACTGGGCTTTGGGTGAAGATGGTACAGGTGATGCACTCAGAAAATCTGAGCCAGCGGAGACGGATCCACCCAAACGTTAACGTTTAAACCTTAAGTAATCTCATAGGGTCTCTCTGCATGGCATACGAAAAGAGGCCTCACTGCATATCACGCGAAAAGAAACGAAGACAAGTGTGTCTGGCCACAGGAGGTGGCAAAATACATTCGGTGCTATTAACAGTAAGCCAATGAAACACTCCATTTGCTGTGGGAAGATGCACTTGTTTCGTTTTTTCATTTCGAGTGCGGTGCGGTGAGGCCCATAGTGGAATAGACTCTTAGAACTAAAGCGCATCCCAAGTCTGCACTCAAAAGGGCTATAGGAAGACATGCTCAACTAAAGGGGGGGGACCAAAGACCTTGTCTTTCACATGTCCACAAGTAAGGCTGGACAAAGAATCACACTCTGACAGAATTTTGGCCTGAAAAAAAAATGCAAGGTCCTTCGTGATGTCTGGGCAAGGTCATAAAAAAGTCCAGGGACACTGTCGACATACTCCCATATTGTGCACATGAGAGAGAGAGAGAGAGAGAGAGAGAGAGAGAGAGAGAGAGAGAGAGAGAGAGAGAGAGAGAGAGTCCACCATCTTGTGTGTCCATGCAAGAGGGAAAGAGGAAGAAAAGCATTCTTCCAGTCAGGGTTCAAAACTCAAATGCTTCAAGTTTTTCACTAGCCTGTATGTACCTGTTGCTTACGCGGCCAATGCGACGTAGCCAAGCCATCCCGTAATGTCTTAACAATCTCCTGGAGATACAACTGCAACGTGGCATTACTGCCACGCGAGCTTTCCTCCCAAACTTCGGTATACATTGCCTTCACATCTTTCTCCTCATCAAATCTGCACATACCAACAGATAAAAAAAAAAAAAATCAGCTTCATGGGACAACAATCTGTTTCAACTGCACCCTCTTCAAAAACCCCAAACGGCTCTGGAAGCTCAGCGCCTGCGCTCTCAAGGGAGAATTTCGATAGCGATTTACGTTCTAGAAGGATAAAATAGTAACGCGGCTGGCCGGGCAAGCCAGGTGACATGGCTACGTCTCCGCCCGTGTCAACCAGGGAAGGGACTGTGTCCGTAAAGTTTTATTTATTTACTTACTCTCGCGCGTGTCAAACAGGGCAGGGACATAGCCCGTAAAGTTTTATTTATTTACTTATTCTTGCCAGTGGCACATTTCCACACCCACTGGGAAAAGCCCAAACCCGGGGTCTTCTGAAGGAGGAGGAGGGGGGGGGGGGGTTGGCAAAAGACCACACACCCCTTCTACTCTGGGGGGCTTCAGTCCGGTTGCTTATCACCGGCACATGCTGTTCTTGTTTTTTGCGAATGTTGTATGACTATGAAGTGCTCGGTGGCGCTCCAGACCCATGGGGGGTCATCAGGGCCTTTGACAGTTCCGAAACCAAAAAGTCACCTTTTTGAGCTGGGCCACCCAGGACCCTCTCAGACAGTGCTGCCCAGCCAGGAGGCAGGGCATGTGTCCAGGCAGAACGTTCGCACCCAAGCACACAGAAAATCAACAAGGTATTAGAACTGCATAAAAGAATAATACGCAGTTCAAATTGGGTATGCAGTGTGCAGGTCTGTACAACTATGGACTCTTATGAACCATGGAGGAACAAAAACACTCAGAGCAGCTGCACATGAATTGTTCTCGTCATCGTCTATATTCAATCCTCCTCTTACGTCTACCGTTTTCCTACTCACCTATTCAACCCAGTTACGTTGCTGTTTTATTTCCAGGCCGCCAGCTTCATGGTAGGCTAGAGACAAAGCGTTGACGGAAATTCACGCTCGAGCCGCTCGACACAATGTGCTTGGAGGAAGTGGTCGTTTAACCAATAGATTAAGCGAGTCCCAAAAGCACAGCACTAGGATATGAATGTGTGACCGCACACCGACCGCACACCAACCAGGTACTACCCCCGCTCTCAAAGCTCGAAACAAGTCACCATTTCGTAGGCATGGAACACAAACACATAGACAGAACTGTAGAAAATAAACAGCTTTCTCTGAGAGAAGTTCAAAGAGCACAGATGTGCGTCAATTTTCAGACAATCTACAGCGAAAAGACTTTGTCAGACCGAAAAAACAGCAAGCCATTGCATGCTCAAACTGCCAGTACGCAGCCCCACCCTTGCAAGATTGATTTCTTCATCGCTCATTGCTAAAATTCCAGAGGGTACCAGATGACAATGACCGGTGGCGCCAACCGAAAAGAAAATAATAGTGCGGCTGGCGGTTTGGCAAAGCTTGGCTTGCAGTACGGCTCCACCAGACCCGGCTACTGGTGGTTTGGTTTAAACAACAGAAGACAGTGCAAAGTCCGCAGACATGGGCTACACACCAGAAGAATGGGACAGCAGCCCAAAATACACAGCCCAAAGAAAGCCCCGAACCCCAAAGAAAGTTCCCAATTAGAACTCTATTGTACATCCAGATGCAGACAAAAAAACTAAAGGCAGGAAATTCACCTTGCAAAAAATGCTGTTGGGAGAACATCGGTATGATAGCCTCTGAGAGCATCAGCAGCCTGTCTACTTAGCTCTCTGATGATTCCTGCACTGACCGAGCGAGACTCCGCATCTCCTGGTGTAGTGTACAGAGCAATGGAATCTTCCACAAGCTTCGAAAACCGGGCATCTGTCGCATGCTTTGCCACACTTGCCAGAGCAGCAGCAAAAGCCCTACATAGAAAGTCAAAGTCAACACAAACAGGACAGCAGGCGTTCAGCCCTGGTCCATCCAACACATTTTCTACCACTGGTTGTGACAGTACAACTGACAATTCAAAGTTCGTCCCAATTTCCCTACCCAACATTCCAGAGAGAGACACTCGTAAAAGAAAAAGCGGGAAGAAAAATCTGCAAGGAAACACACACAAGATATGTCCATTGCCCAATAACTTTGGAAAAGACATAAAAAAGAACGCGACAAGCTCACACGGATAACACGACGTTAAACCACCAGTCCCAATCCCAGCTATTTTTTGTTAGACTCCCAAATCAACCTGCCGCAAAAAAAAAATTGCAGGCAAGGCCTGCCTGATAGGAAAGGCTGACGGTGCCAGGCAAATCACACACTGTGGTGTGGCGGCATAATCCCGCATCGTCAAAAAGAGGCTATAAGATACAAGTGGTTGAACCAAAACTACAAGGATTCCATGAGCCCTTGTTTGATTTTTTTAATTCGTTGGCAGGGAGGGCAGAAAACAGGGCACAAAAAACCACCAGTCCCTCTCATCCTCAAGCTCACACAGATAACACGACGTTAAACCACCAGTCCCAATCCCAGCTATTTTTTGTTCGACTCCCAAATCAACCTGCCGCAAAAAAAAATTGCAGGCAAGGCCTGCCTGATAGGAAAGGCTGACGGTGCCAGGCAAATCACACACTGGTGTGGCGGCATCCGCATCGTGAAAAAGAGGCTATAAGATACAAGTGGTTGAACCAAAACTACAAGGATTCCACGAGCCCTTGGTTTTTTTTTTTTTTTTTTTGGCAGGGAGGGCAGAAAACAGGACACAAAAAACCACCAGTCCCTCTCATCCTCATTTCCCGACCTGGATTTCTTCTGTGCACCAAAATACAAAAACAAAACAAAAAACGAGTTGGCACAGGTGCCAAATGTTCTTTTTGTTTGTGCTTGGCGCTGCTAGACCTTTCCGGATGGGAACGGATGGTGCCGCCGGTCATATCACATCCGGCGCAGGTTCGGAAGGAATCGGCGCGGTGGCAAAAATCCACATGGTGAAAAAGAGGCGCAGAGAGACTAGGTAGTGGCTTAACTCAAATTGCAAGGATTCCATGACCCCTCATTTGATATATTTTGGCGGGGTGGGCACAGAATGTTCTTTTTTTTTTTGCCTGGTGCTGCTAGCCTTTCCTGATGGGAAAGGCCGGCACAAACAGGCAAATCACATAGCACTGGTTTGGAAGAAACTGGAGCAGTTGCCAAAATCTGCATCGTTAAAAAGACGCTCAGAGGGCGTAGCGGTTTAAAAACCGTCTAACTGAAATTGCAAGGATTCCATGAGTCTGCGAAGCATCACGGCCCTCGGCATGCTGGAAAAAGGCCTGCGCCTGCCCTAAGTGAAGGCGGGCCTGCAAAAGTTCCTCGCGGCCTAAGTTGAGGCCGATGTGAGCAGACAGGGGCCAGTGGGTGAGTCGCTGCACACGCAGCCATACCAACCAACAAGTAGTCCGGTTGGTTCACGACGCTGGGGCCCAGCAAAGTCGCTGAGGCCCAGGGCACTTACAGTTGAGCCCCAGACACATTCCGGAAGGGTCCTGGGTGGAGCTACTGGGACAGAGGCAGGTCAGTACAGGCCTGCATCGCCCGTCCAGACAGAACAAAAGGAAGAGCGGTGAGCTCGTTCCTCACATTCTACTGGCTGAACGCAATAGTGCCGCTGGGGCGCACACTTGAGCGGATGAACGCCGGCAAGGTAAGAGAAGGGTGCTGGCAGGGAGCCAGGAAGCTGCAGGTTGCAGCAAGGCAAGGAGCCGTGGCATCCATAGCCGGGGGAGGAAGGCGGACGTCCTTGAGCTAAGGGGGGAATGCGGAGTAAGTCAGGGAGACAGGACGATGCGACGTGGCACTCGCATGGTGGACGAGGAGCAGATCGTCGGCATGGGGTCTTCATGTGTTCATCAAGCAGATGATTTTCATTGTTGTCTGGTCGTAGATAGAAGTCCAGGTCGCAGGAGCTGTCTGTTGGTAGTCTGGGCGCCGGGCGCCAACATAGGAGAGTGGCATTGTTGACATTGGTGATTGGAGGCGAGGAGGGTTTTCATTATCATGTGACTTCAGTGCTTCGCTCATAGTGTTATCTCGCATTGCGATCTGCTTTCAGTTCGGGCACAAAGTCGTCCGGATTTCCAAATCGAGTTTATTGTCATTTGCATTGCTCATTTCCTTGACCAAGTCCTTGTTCAATTGCTTCATTTTTTGGCACACACCAAAAACAAAAAGAACGAATCTACTTCCCACACAGAGTAGAGCTTGCTAGTAGCGCCCCGAGGGTCTATTCGCCAGTCTTGGGAGTCGGAGTCCATGGTTTGAAGGGCTAAGAAAAATTGAGAACAAATAATAGCTGTCATGGTGAGGGGGAGACAGATTTATTAAAAATGAAGAAGAAGAAGAAGAAGAAGAAGAAGAAGAAGAAGAAGAAGATGATGATGAAACGGTTTTCACCTTTCTGCAGTCACAGATGCGGGCCCTAGAGTTCGATCCCCAGACCTCACCTTACCCATGTACAGTATCGAGTTGACCCTCGAGTGTTTGAACCCAAGACCTGTGTTTCGGTAGTTGTTTGTTGTCTGTCGTAGGTCTGTGTAGATGTAGGGGTTCGATCTGTAGGTCTGTCAAGTAGGGGTCATAGTTGCGTAGAGGCCGTAGCTGTAGCGTTTCTGAAAGGTCAAGGTCGTAGCTGCTACAGTCCTGAAAGGCCAAGTCCGTAAACTTCCAGAAGGTCCAGAAGTGGCCTTTCAAGTTTCTTCTCACGTTTTACACAGCATGCGAGAGGCAAGTGGACAAGTGGTGAGTCCAACTTCGCTTAGTCAGTGGTACCCAGTCCCAGTCTCACTTTGCACCATCAGCAAGTACCATGAGGGACTGTGTGCACCTTGGGCCCGGTGGAAAAGGGCAGACCAACGACTTACAGAAGTATAAATCAAGAGGCAGCCCCCAGCCATTATTCATTCGCTGCGGAAGCCATGCGAATGCGCTGCTACAGCATCTTGTGCGAAGGTGGTCTGCAGGTTGCCCGAAGACAAAGTGGGCTGAAGAACGAGATTGTGGCCATAGCAGTTGTGGCGAGCGGCCACAGCCGCTGTAGGTTAGAGGTAGCAGATAGTGTGTGTGTGTGCGTGGGATACTGAGTGAGTGTGCGTGGAGTATTCAGGGAGATCCAGAGTGAGTATGTGCGAAGGGTGGTGTTGGACACAGTGATGAGAGTTGATGTACAGGCGCTTATGCGCCCTAGTCTATTGAAGCGAGTTTTGCATCTGAACTGTGTTCTCGATTTCCATCTCTCTGAGCTTTGAGTGGGCGCTCTGCGCCAGTGTGAATCGCCCTCTGTTTGCATGTATGTGAAGTGGAGAATAAAGCGAGTCTGATTGCAAAGAAGAAGCACAGATGGGAAATGTTCTTTTGCTTTTTATCCTTTCCATCCATTAGTCTGAGCCCCTTTTAACACCTCGCTGGAACACAATCCACGCAGTTGTTAAATTTCAAATTTAGCAACAAAGAGACTCAAAAAGGTGAATACACATCAGCTCTTGGGAAATTGTAAATATAAAAACATGATAGTAGTTGTCCAAAGATCAAGAAGTAAACACACTTCCCAAACTCCCAGTACATTGTCGAATCCAGAACCCGTAAAAAGTCAAAAATCAACCAACAGACACGCATAGATTACGTGGGAGTCTACAATTAAAGACTAAGCAAAGATAAAGAGATGTCCACACTTCAGGATAAACAAGCAAATGTGTGGACGCGGACACACAAAATTCAAAAAAAAAAAAAAAGGGAAACACACCAGCACAGAGGCAACTGAAAGATAATAATCCCATTTGAGTAATTCGCTCGCTTCAGCTGTGTCCTCAATTTCAGTGATTGTATACGATTAATACCCGGGTTAGCCAACAAAAAACAAAAAACAAAAAAAAAACTGGGTTAGCTTTCTAGACACGGGCTGCCCACACCTGCGCAGAAGAGTGCTCGGCCGGCCCGCAAGGCAGATCACCCAGCCGATTCCCTGGCCTTCTCAGCACCCATTTCAAACAGGTGTATTCATACTCGGTAGGCAGCCTGGTAATCCACTATGCCAGGCGTCTTCAAAAGCAATGATGATGATGATGACAATGGTCGGTGAAAAGGGAATAATGAGATGAGGATGATGTTTCCTCCATCGTGTAGTTCCCCAAGTTGTGGCCGAATGATGATGATATGAAGGTGATGATGACGATGACTCCCCACATCCCTCACCACACGCCACCGCAACCGAATTTTCCTAACCACTTAGAAAACATAAAAGAGCCTGGTTCCGGGTGGGCACAGTGATGACCACCACCTAAAAAGAACAAAGGGGAGGATTTTTTCAATTCTTTTGCATGCTTGTGGTGACCTCGGGGGAGGGTGAACGGCCATGCAACCGGTACAGGTGCCCGTCAGGTACCCCTGGTAGCCTATATTAATACTGACTATAAGGTAAAGAACAAAATTCTTTTTTTTTAATAGCTAATTCACAGTCGGGTTTATCAGACTGAATAAAAAGTATTAAAAACCTTGAAACTGTAGTACTCTTCTCCTTCTGCATAGCCATGAAAAGAGTCTTCAGCAATGCTCCAGAATGAGGTCGGATGTCTGCAGCGACTTTGTCACATATCATGCTTATGAACTTTGCTACTCCTGCCCTGCATTCCAAGCAAGACAAACAATTTTGCTAAAGCCAGTTAACCACCCAAAAAAGCCAACCATTAAATTACTTAAAGCAGAAAAAAGAATCGGGAACCCAAAAGAGCAACCAAACCGGCCATTCTACATGAAGTTCAATAGTACCTTACGTTCTCACCATACATGCAAACGGACACTGTGCGGAAAATTCCTCACGTTTGGCGCACGACCGGACCCGCACGGTGTGGCGCACGGGCGAAAATATTCACAAAAAATTTGAAAAAAAAGGGGGTCTCAAAACCGTCGAATGGCTGGGTCAATGGTCACCTGCGTCCCCTTTAAACGTTTGTTGTGGGATGGGTGGGGGGGGGGGAACTAGTGGGAGGGTAATGCCGCTACCTGAAGGTACACGAGCAGGTACGGCACACGAGCAAGGAAAATAGTCTGACTGATGTCCCAGACACCTTTTTGAGGCTATTTCATACCCAATTGGACGGAAAGGAAAATATGTACGACTTTACTTGAAAAGATCAGTTCCTTAGGTGTTGCACACTTCTGTATCTACAAAAACAGCGAAAGAAAAACAAAAAAGAGGGAGACTGCTGCTGGTACGACACACGAGCAGGTGCTGCGCCGCACGCCGTGCGGCACACCGGACGGTACGGCGCATGTTGCGGTTGCAAGTATGGTTCTCACAAACAGCACACGACCGTAGACTCGATTCATGCCTAATGATGATGGTGTCAGACAACAGCAGGCGTGAGTCCCCAAGTTGCAACTCAGAGACCTCAAATGAAAGAGTCAACACCTACGATCGGCGGATTGTTCTTACAAAATAGAAAGAAAAACAGCTGTCATAGAAACTACGAGCAGTAAGGTTACACGTAGAGGCTTGGAGCTGTCGGTTGTAGAAAGCGCATCTACTAGAGGAGGGAGTACGTATGAGAGAGCAGAGAGTGAGAGGCCTGTGAGGCTACCAGGCATTCCTCACCCGCGCCTAGTCGTTTACAGGACCTGGCAGCTGCGTGTCTGGGTGCTGCCAGTAAGCCTCCTGGCCAGCATGGGAGCTCCTGCGAACGCGGATTGGTTTGGGGGGAGAGAAGCCAAGGTAGCCACCCCCCTTTGTGTATGCGGCTAGAGCCACAAGGGTGGCTGATATTTGGACTGATTGTTCAATTCCTTGTTGGTTGTTGCTGCTCTCCTTCTGTATAAACATGCTTGCCGGTGATCAGCAACCAGGCTGACGCCCCCCAGAATAGAAGGGGCATTAGAGTTTTGAGGGGGGGAAAAAGAAAAAAAAAAGAAAGAAAAAGAAACTACGAGCAGTGTATCAACAGGTGATGTGAACAAGTAGGCTTAGGCTACAGAACAGAGGGACTGTTCAGAATCGTCAGATAACTACTCTCCTCCCCCAAACAGAACGCACCCTCATTTTGGGTCTACCGGACCGAAAATATAGCTTGTACACATTCATTTCCAGGGTGTCTAATGTTCGGGGAAGACAGTTGACTGCAAATCACTAGGGTTAAGGAACACAGCTGACATCCAAACTCTATGCTTTGCACATACAATGAGGTTTGTGATGCGACCTCGCAACTGACCTGGTATTCAGCCCCACCCCACTCCTTACAATTTGTGTAAGTTTTGGGACCAGCTCTGCCAACAGGGTTCCATCAATTTGTCGGACACAATAGCTCAGTGTCTCCCACATCGGCGACTCTTTTGCAACAGAAATTCTTGCTGCTTGCAATTTCTCTGTGCTCATATTCAATCGCTCCGCATGCATCTGTGCAGGCAAGGTAGACAGCCAAGCAAAAGAATGAACATCTCCCAGAATGAGTTTGCTGCACAACATAGATGGCTGTTCTGCTACATCGAGCTCCAGACGGCATCAATAACAAAGATGGCTGTTTTACTGCACGTAGCTCAAGATAGCTTCAAGTGCATAGCTGTTTCATTGCATGTAGCTCTAGATGACTTCAACAACAAAGATGGCTGTTTCATTTCAAAAACATGGATGGCTGTTCTAGCGTTCTGTTTTATGTAGGTTTTTGCAATACCACAAAGACAAGATGAAATTGTAATGTGCAAGGAAACCGGGACTCAGAAGGGCCAAGGATAGGGCCTAGGGCAGTGCCGGCACTGTGACCGGTGACTGAAACGATCACGGTAACGATCACGGTGATTTGACCGGCCGGTCACAGTACCCTTTTCCGGTGACCTGACGGTCACGGTCGTTTCCCCCCAAAAACATGAAAATTCCCAACATGCCACAACCTGGTCTTCCGGGCACGGCCAACCGGTCACGCCCGGGCCTTGGTCATGGACCCCGTGACCCGTGACCGGTGGTATGGCACTGACCTAGGGTCGTGTTTTTCAGTGTCCGTTTGAATCGAGGGGTCAAAAGTCGATGTCCAGGGCCAGGAATCGTCCGAGACGTTCCTTCAGATCAACTGGGTAGGGGTAAAAGGGCTCAAAAGTAACCCCCCCCCCCCCCAGCCTGGACATGGCAACCCACCCAGGCCTGAGGAAAGTCAGCAGTCACGGCGCAGCATGGGCACATTTCCAAGAGTAAAAGATTTTCCCAGAAGTTGTGTCGCAAATCGCACACCAAAGGCACAGAAAAGTTTCCAGAAACTTCCACACTCAGTGGGACCAAGGCACACAGGCTGCGCGCAAATTCTTTCCAAGCAGATCAAACAAATTCAGCCGTTCAAGAAGGCAACCTAAACCAGAGATGAGTCAACACAACAGAATCTAGGCCCTGCCTCAGCTCGTGCATTCATTCAGCTTGGGCGAGTTGATGCTGATGTCATTCGCGGCAGGAGAACTCAAAGCACCAGCAGAAGTAGAGAGACAGTGCTGCAGCCATGACGAACTGGGTTCTGCCTGTAGAACAGGGATTGTGCTGCATTCCTAGCTGTACGTAATAGTGCACGCGAGATTCAAGGTGTGATCTGGATGTGGGGAGAGAGAGTTCTTCTTACCTGGAGTCTTCACACTAATGCTCCGGTTTTACTGCTTTGAAGTTCTCATCAGATTCAATTGGGTATGTGCTTTCCTAGAACAGGCTCGGATAAGAGATGCTTGGGAAGAGCGATTGAGCGGGATTGTGATCGGACAGCCAAAACACAAGCTGTGTGCTGGCAAGGGACAAGAAGTGCCTGGTGGAGAAGGGGAAGAAGATCGTCAATGAAACGGTTTTCACCTCTGCAGTAGCGGATGCAGATCCCAGGGCTCGATCCCTAGACCTCACTCACCTGTGTACAGTACCCCTGTGTGTTTGAACCCGTGACCTGCGTCTTAGGAGTCTGCTGTTGTCCGTCGTAGGCCAGTATAGTCATCGGGTCTTGAACTGTAGTCCTGTCGAGTAGGGGTCAAGGTTGTAGCAGAGGTCGTAGTTGTAGTGGTTCTGAAGGGTCAAGGTTGTAGCAGAGGTCGTAGCTGCAGTAGTTCTGAAGGGTCAAGGTCGTAGCTGCTACAGTGTTCGAAAGACCAAACCCACAGACTTCCGGAAGGTCCGGAAGTGGCGTTTCGAAGTTGTCTCAGGTTTGGACAGAGGCAAGTGGGCAAGTGGTGAGCCCAACTGCATTACGTCGGCAGTGCGACTGCATCGAGTTGGCAGTGCAAACCCATGCAGTCAGCCGTACCGGTCCCAGTCAGTCACAGTCCAGTCAAGCAAGTACCATGTGGGACTGTGTGCACCAAGGGCATGGGAAAGGGGCAGACCAACGAGTTACAGAAGTATAAATCAAGAGGCAGTGCCCAGCCATTCATTCATTCCTGGGTAAGCCATGCGGAAGCGCTGCCTGAGCGACTTGTGCGAGGTGGTCTGCAGAGTGCCCGGAGACGAAGTGGGCTGAAGAAGATAGTTAGCCATAGCTAGTGAGGGACAGCGGCCATAGCCGCCATAGCTGATAGGCGAGTGTGTTAGTGTTAGCGTGAGTGTGTATGCACGTGGGATATCCAGGGTGATCCGGAGTTGAGTGAGTGCGAACGGTGGTGTTGGATAGAGAGACGAGAGTTAGAGTGTGCAGGCACTGATGCGCCATAGCCTGTTGAAGCGAGCTTGTATCTGAACTGTGTTTTCGACTTCCATATCTCTGAGCTTTGAGTGGGCGCTGTGCGCCAGTGTGACTCACCATCTGTTTGCATGAGTACGGAGTGCAAAAGAAAGCGAGTCTGATTGCAGACAATGTATTTTCTAGTAAATTTCTACTATTTCTGATTATTGAAGAGATTATTCTTCCTTTTTTTCTTTATTAAAAAAATTGTCTTATGTCACGTTATGTGTGATATCCTTGTGGAGGGGCCATGCTAATCTTCTGTATCGTTCCAATTTTAAGGATGTGGTGGGAAGCATCACCTGCCGAAAAATAAATAAATACATAAAAATTTGAGGGTTTCATTCAAATGCCCTTAACACAACAGCAGCAGTGCCTGCAAGTGTTCCTCACCTCAACATAGTTCAACCGGCTGTCCTCTAAGCTTGACAAACTCTCCAGCATGCATGCGACAAGTTCAGGCATCTGCGCACGGATCTTTGGACCTGCTCCCTGCCATGTGCCAAAACAGTGATACAGTAAACGAAAGCATTTTGATTTCTCTTCTCGCCTTCACTTCGCTTCTCTGGCAAGATTCCTTTTTTCTTTTCTTAAAAAATAAAATAAAAAAAATGACAGCCTTGAGATATCATTGTGAAACTGACTGGCCGCTCGTAATTCAGGAATTCTGTTCGTCTAGTCTCATCCAGACTCGAACTCAGGTCTGTATTTCAAGTTTCAACAGGTTGTGGGTGCACCAAATGAGCTAGGCCTGTCGGTTCTGGCATTCCTGTTTGTTACACTTGACGTATCTGTTAACATGAAAGACAGACACTTGAAAGGATTTTCACAAGTATCAGTGTCTTGTTCCAGTCCCGGTCCCCAGGTCCCAAGTCCCATGTACCACGAAGTATTAGTCCGGTGGGTAGGTAGGTCGAGTCCAGGCCCGTTGGTCGGAACGGTCTGCTCCAGTCCACTTGATACAGTCCAGTGCAGTCCAGCCAGCGGTCCGAGTCCCGATAAAGTCAGTCAACATTCCAGGATGCACTGAAGGCTGACCGCAGCCACAAAAGAGGCTGACCGCAGCCGCAAGTGAGGGTACGGGTCAGGAAAATTCAAGGTTTTGCACTGATGCGTCGCATACAAGAGTCCAATCGCAGCAAAACATCGACATGTTTTCCACTCGAGCTTGTTGCAGAAGCGCTGCTGAAGTCTCGTGCGACCAAGCACCAAGTAAGAATGGAAGTGTGCAGTCAAGTAGGGCTAGTCCACTACGCTGGGGCCATAGCTGTACAAGAGAGGGAGACCGAAAGAGTAAGGAAGATGTGACCAAGCACCAAGTGAGGTTGGGGTTGCTAAGCATGTTTCAAAGAATCGCCGAATCACACCGAACATCCCAAACTATCATACCAACAAGTTGGAAAGCCAGAAATGTTCGAACTTCAAACTAGACAGCCGTGCTCAGTTGGACATCATTACCAAACCCAAAAATCATGAGAAGATTTCCCGGGGGGCACCTGTAACCGTCCTACGCAACCCCCATTTTGTTCCAATGTTCCTCAGGAGAGCCTCATCCGGACGCTCCGATCCAGACGACAGACCCCGACATCCAGACCTTAACACTCCTTTGCACCCTTGTCCCAGTTTGCCATTACGTAAAAGTGCGGGCCACTAGGGTTGTACTCACACTGGCATTGTTCTCGATGTTATTGAGGTCAGATACATCCACCATGGCCTGTAATTGCAATCGGACACATCTGGGAAAGTCTGAGTTCGAGTATCCTCTTCGCCACCAGAAAAACACAGTATTAAGATTTGAATTCCATGTAACGTTTAAAAAATATATTAGACCCAGCAGTTTGGAGTAAGTGCTGACTTGATATGCCCAATGGATGGCCCCCAGAATAGATGGGTCCGGGTCTGTTTCCTTTTGGAGAAAAAAAAAGAAAAAAGAAAAAGGAAAAAGATAAGCCCAATTGACGAGGGAGATATCCCGGGTGCCCGGGTCCCGATGTCACGCCCTGTTTGGCGACCGGGTGACGGGCCGGGCATGACCCCCGGGCATGGGCCCGGGCAACCCCAGCGCATTAAAAAACAAAAACAAAAAAAATAACAAAAAAAAACTGAAAGAAAAAACTATGTTGTGTAGAATTGCAATACAAACAACTTCACGTCAGAATTCCTCATGTAACTGACGATAAAAAAGAAAATAACCAAATCACACTAAGGCACCCCCCTTTAAAGTGTAAACCCCTTTGAAACACTAGTACCTCGCCCAGTGTTGGGAAATTAGGGGAAACTGGCAGTTTTCCCAAACTCCTGAAAGTTCAGAGGCCGGGCCCGATGACAGCTGCCATTGATAAATCTGATCGGCGGCGGTCGTTTCGTTTCGGCCATCCGAAAAGGTCGGAGGCCCACCCGAGGCCCGCTATTTTCCCACGCGGCAAAGTACTGGTGGTTTAACACCTTTAAATTTTAAAATTAATTTATACTCCCCTTCCCCCACTTTGACAATGTGGTATATAATGTGGTATATAGATCCGCACAAGCGGGCCAAAGTTCTCCTCCGTGCAAGCACGGATTCGAACCGGCGACCTTGGCCTCAGGAGCCAAGTCTCTTAACCACTACAGCCACGACACGGTGTTCAAAAGTGGAACCATACCGGTCGTGATATCCACCCCACCCCTGCAAGGCTGTAGTGTCCAACGCAACTCACACCGCACACAACACCACACGGACACATCCCACGGACGCAGCAATTCTCGCTCACTCCGATCCGTTGCACAGGACCCCTTCCATTGGTACTTAGCCCGAACACCAATACGG